CCATTCCTCCTCCTTATCCTCCCGCAGAAACCCGCACCCCCCTCAATAATTACAATTTTATACTGTAATTATTCCTCTCCGTTTAATTATTCAGGCTGTGGAGCTGAATGCAGCCTTTTGTCGCCACTCATTCCGGAGGAAACGTGAGCTGAAGGCGGCTGCAGCTCAGCAGCGAGGAGTTTTTAATTAGACAACATTTCAGAGGTCATTTTACTCGAGCTCTTTATCAGCACCAGGCTGGGTCCAGAGCACCCCGACTCATCCATATGTGCGGCACTGGTTCTGTCACCATGTGTTATTTCAGTGCTGGGCTTTTTAAACATGATGTTAAACTTTCTGACACAACACTCTGAAACTTCATCTTAAAAGATCAACATTTAAACTATTTTCTCTCCTTTGTTTTTTTCCTGTGCAAACACAACAATATTTTATTTTCCTCTATTGTAAGGCAAATTTGTTTTCATTTTAAAAACAAAATTTACTGATTGTGTTTTTCACTTATTTAAATTTTTATTCATTTTATTAAAATATATGCTGCTGAAATTGCTTCAAAGAAAAGTGGATGAACATATCTTTTTCTGCCACCAGCTGATTATATTGATTTTGAATGTGTTTGTCTGTTAACAAAWTATTTCTCAGTTCACTGGACAGATCCTGATAAAACTTGCACAAAGTACACACTGGACTCACATTTTCAGCTGATGAGATTTTGGTGTCAACTTGATTCAAGATAATCACCACAGCCAAAGGAATTTTAAAAAATGGCTACTCAGTCCATTTTACAGGTATTRTCCTCATATTTTGTGTGGTATGTGATTGACATCTAACACACTCCGGGGTGTCAAACACAGTGACGGGTCAAAACTCAAAACTTGGTCCTGGCCAAGGGCCTAACTGTCATTTATTTAAGAAATTTAAAACAAATTTTTTCTTATCGAAATACAACCTTTTCCAAATTATATGTTTTTAGCATTTAGAACACACATAACCTATTTAAAAATACTCATCATTAGCATATATTTCTTATGCTCCACACTATATTAACAACTTTTAATTTATTATGAACAAACACATTTTTGATTTCTTGTTTTGAAAGTAGGCCAGCTGTCATGAGAAGAATGCACTAAATCTAGTGACAAAAAGAGAAGCAAAAAAATTGTTTCACATTTAAAATATTAACTTATCCAGTTGGTTTGAGCTAAAAYTAGATGAAAGTCATCCACGATACATTCTGAGAGCTTCACATCAGATGTGACCACAATTCTACCATCTGTCAATACAGACCGACTGTAATACTCTGAAATRAAACATGGCGGGCGATATGCATTTATTAAAAAAAACTTATTTGGTTTATGTAGATTTATATTTAATCTAATCATGTAAAAATTATAAGTGCAGGCAAGCCCA